GGTTGCATCAGTACCTTGGCAGCGAGCTGCCGGAGGTTTGGGTTGGATTCAAAATAGGGCATGTTGCAAGGGATATCATAGCTGATGTTGGCTGGATCTTGGCTAGAAGAAGAGAATACTAGAAAGATATTTACTTACATTTTATTGAAAGGAAATGGAAAGGTGTGTGTCAGGTTTGTATCCTCTCACTATACGTAGTCAACCTGTCTGCTGAGCAAATCCTCAGAGAAGCTGGATTATATGCAGAAGAAAATGGCATCAGGATCGGAGGAAGGCTTTTTAACTTGCAAAATACAGACGATACAAGCTTGCTGACTAAGATCAAGAATTGAAACCTTTAATATGGATTACCATTCAATGTAAAGAAAACCAAAATCCTCACAACTGCACCAATGGGTTACATCATGGTAAATGGAGAAAAGAATGACCTTTTCATAGATTTTGTTTTGCTTGGCTTCACGATCAAATGTTCAAGGAAGCAGCAGTCAAGACATTGAAAGACACATTGCATTGGGTAAATCTGCTGCAAAAACCTTTTTAACTATTGAAAAGCAAGGATGTTATTTTGAGTACTAAGGTGCACCTGACCCAAGCTTTGTTATTTTCAATCACTTCAAACGCATATAAAAGTTGGACATCGACTAAGAAAGACTGAAGAAGAATTTAGCATTGGAATTCTAATGCTGAGAAAGAATATTGGAAGTACCACGGACTAGTAAAAACAAACAAACAAATATGTCTTGGAAGAAGTACAACCAGAATGCTCCTTAGAAGCAAGGATAGCACAATTTTACCTCAGGTATTTTGGACATGGTATCAGGAAAAGGACATCATGCTTGGTAGACCGAGAGGCAGGGAAACAGAGGGAGATCCTTGTCACGATGGATTGACACCGTGGATGCAAGGATGGGATCAACCATAATTGTGAAGATGGCGCAGACCGGGCAGCGGTTTGTTCTGTGGTTCATATGGTTTCTATGAATCAGAAGTGACTGTACGGCCCAACAGAACCTAACAACGGAACTACTATCAGTAAAAATTATCTTAGCCTGGGCTTTATAGATGAGTAAACACACACACACACACACACAAACCCAAAGTAGGTGGGGGCTACTATTTACTCACATGGTTGCAGGTCGGCAAATCCTGATTTGGCAGGTGAAATGGTATGATGTTGGTTCATGTCCAAGAACCAGAGGTGAAGGATGATAAGTTGGGTGCAGGATTGAAAGCAGGGAAGCTTTGACAGAATACACATATATATTGGATTCAGGCCACACCCCCAAGAAAACTCCCTTTCAACTGAATGGCTGCTACATTAGATCTTAAAATGGAGAGTACATTGTATCTGTCAAACCACTGAGAATCATGGCCTAGCTAGGTTGATTCATAACCTTAACTTTCACAATAGATTGTTAGAATTAAGTCAAGTACTTCCACCCTGCACTAGAGATTATATAAGGATCTGAATCGCAAAAGGAAGTCAGACACATTAGTTGCTGAGTACTTGAAAGGGGGACTTGAATAAATAACTTAAAATCAGTTTCATGATTTTTAAATCTCTCACATTAAAGTTATAGAAGGGGGCATAGTCTATTAATGACGGAGTTGTGTCAGACCATCTGTTTTTGCACTAGTCTATTTTATCTAGCAAATGCTAATTTTTGCTTTATTTGAGGATGCTGTTAGGTACACATAATTTTGGAATTATCTTTCTTTAGAATTAAGATATTACTCAATATGCTTTTAAATATTTTATATTAATATGGCCACACTTGTTTTGTTTGGTTAATATTTGCACAGCATATATTTTCTACCTAAGATTTTCAATTTTTTACATATACATTTTAAATAAACACTATAGGTATACATTGTTTTGCTCTATACATACTGCACATACTTAACTGTACTATACTAAATTTTGGGGGGAAAATGGTCTTTTTATTGTTTTACTTTTATATTTTGTTAGTTGGGATTTAATACATCTGACATTCTATATTTCTTTTTTTTTTCAATTTACAAGTGATTTCTTTATTTTGTGGTCTCAGTGCCACATGTTTTAGTCTCAATACAATTTAAGTATTTAAACTTTTACATTCTGTATTTCAAACACATCAAGTAGACTTGTACAATTGCTATCACAACCAGTTTGCAACCATTCTTCTACATGGACTCCTTGACATCATCTCCCCTTTACCCCACTGCCAGCACAATACCCTCCTCCGCCCAAACCCCTTAGTCTACTTGCTGTCCCTATAGGTTCAGCAACCTTGGGTTTCATATACCAAAAAACAGGGAGATTTAAAGAATCAGGTAAAGACATGTGGCAATACTGTTAAGGAACAAGGCTCAGCAACAAGACATTTTTATGAGCAGTGGTTGCCAGATGAACACGAGAGGCACCTTGGAGACACGCAGCTCAGTTCATCACTGCCCTCACAGAGCTCAGTTCCATCTGCTTACTCCAATCTTACGCACCTAGCCCGACTGGTGGCCATCTCCCTATAAAATCAGCGTCTCCCAGCTCACATCTGCCCTTTGCTAAGGTGTACTCGGGCTATTGGGACTCTTCTGACGCAGCAACCCCCCAGACTTTTGTCGGACGAAAGTTGTGGTATTTCTGACCAGGGCCCTTTTTTTCAAATGGCCTTCACAATATGCTGGGTGAACCCTGACCTTCTGAAGGAAGAGCCTTGGGGGAGATGGAAAAGATGTCATCCTGGGTGGTGATGGGTCGTTCAGTGAGCACAGGAGGGGGGAGGAGATCATGCCCGTGCTGCACATGCACACACACAGCTTTAAAAAGTGGAAAATGGGACTTAAAAAATACCATTTTCCCATGATCCTCTTGAAGCCCCCTTGTTTCAGAGCTTTAAGGTGTGTCACTGCCACATACACAGTCCCCTTTCTTTAGAGAAGTTATTTTGAGGCTAAAGGCTATATTTGGCCAAAGAAGTTGTCCCTGGACTTTTTGCTCCTGGTCTCTTTCTCTGATCATGTGAGGAAGGTTGAGGGGTACACGCACAGCCCATCAGGCACCCTCCACACACTTCTCTCAGGTTTATAGGGTTATTTTCCTTAAAGATTAAAAAAAAAAATTCTACGTCCTTCTGATTTGTCTTAACTAGGAATAAGAGAATATCACTCACTCACTGCCAAAGTGACCTATAGGATAGGGTAGAACTTCTCCTGTGACAGTAACTCTGTTAGTATAAAGTCCTTTGTCCCTCAGAGTGGCTGGTGGCTTCGAACTGCTGACCTTGCATGTAGCGGCCCAACTCATAACCACTACGGCCCCAGGGCTCCTGGAAGAGTACCAGGCTACCAAAAATTTTTTTGAGAACTCTCATTTTATAATTATGTTATTCATACTAATAAGTCTTAAAAATGAATATTCAGAACATGTAAAGTGCCTATAACAGTATCTGACATGTGAACAAGTTGTGACAATTGTTAGCATCACAATGGAGGAAACCAAAGCCAAGTGGATGATGTTCCTGGTCTAAGGCTTAAGTGGGCATTAGTGTTGCCTCTATAGTGCTCAATAATTCTTTCAAGGGGCTGAGCAGTACTTAAACCCAGAAGCTAAGGAGCATTGGAGGAAAAAGAGCCCAAATAAACCAGTTGCCATTAAGTTGATTGTGACCCCTGATGATGCTGAGTGGTTTCACTGGCCAAACATTCATCTACTTAATTAAGTTCAAAACCATTAGTAGGTCTGGTGATTTACTTCTGAATGGCCAAAGCAACTGAAAACCCTATAAACAATTCTATTCTGAAACACGTGGGGTCACAGTAGGTAGGGAAACAGATCTGATCATGTTGACTTGTGTATAATGGGAACATTTGCCACATAATCTTGCAACTACTTTCTTTTCCCTACCTTTTAGAAAAATTCCTTTTCCAATAGCTGTGTGGCTGTTGTATAATTGCTTAGCTAATCCTTTGATGTCATTTCTAATTTTTCATTATTAAGAAATCTGAAATGAATTTAATGGCATATATACCTTTATTCTTGTGTCACAAAAGAATTCACTCTTTATGAGTTCTTATAAATACTGTTGTCAAGGTTTGGACATATTTATTTTGACAGATACTGCCAAATTATCCTCTAAAATTGAGTCTATTTTTCAGATAGCCCCAGTGTGAGAGGTTGCACTTTCTTGCACCTTCCCAGTGCTGGCCTGAATGTGAGGATCTAATGTGGGTTGGAATTCTTCCCCAAGTGAGCCTTGGTTCTCTTGCCCTGGAAGTCAAGCCAGCAGATGAAAGGTGGACGTTGGCGTCATATCAGAGGGAGTGACATGCCAATACAGGCAAGAACAGCCAATGTAGCATGGAGGGTTGAATCTTGGATGATGGACCCAGACGTTTAATTTGCCGTGAATCTGCTAAATTGGTTCCTTATTTGTAAATTCTATATACCAGACTTGGTGGTTAATTGGGCATAGTAGTTGGAATATGGACTTTGGTTCAAAACCTGGGGGTCAGAAGCCTGGTTCTACCTTGACCGATGAAAACTTGGACTTCACATTAATTAGCTGTAAAAATAGGGATAAAAATAATGACATGGTAGGTGTGCATAGTGGAGAAATAAGGTATATGATTCTATATAACAGAGATAAAATATCTTAAACATAATACCAAATTAAAGATGCTAACCACAGAAATTTGTGATAGAATATGAAATTCAAAAAGAAGCCGAACTAAAAAAAATATATTTTAAGTCTCTTTATAGGTGGTACCAAGTAGAGAGAAGGAGCTGGCTAACACAATTCAAGACAACCTGAGTGAGAAGGGCCAAAGCAGAGGTTCACTTGGCAGGGCTTTAGTCTTGTTCAATTTCTTTCTCAGCCAGTAGTTAACACAGGTATTAGCTTCACTCCTCTAAACCCTGTACAAATGTTTCATTCACACAAGTATACTAAGAAAAAAGATTAGAGAAACAAAACATCCCATGAGACCACAGAAGTAAAGAATCATCATAGAAACTGTTCAAATGTGTTAAGAAATATTAGTTTTATTTAACCAGTTTTCACAGCTGAATATTTTATTCTATAAAAACTTTACAAATTGTACAGTTTATATATAGCTCAAACTACTGAACAAAAAAGTAGGTCCCACAGATGCAAAAATACTGTACCAATCGATCCCAGGCAAAGGTAGATTTATATACTATATAGCTCTCCACGTCATCTGGAGGTGGTCAGCTCTAAGTATAAACTCCAAAACTATACAAAAATAAGGTCTGATTTTATTTCACTCTTCATACATTCAATATGACTGCAAGCTCAGAAGCCTAAGTAATAAAAGGCATCTGTAGTCAGGAATCAGCACCCTCCTGGAAGGAAGGCAAAATGTCTATGTACACAGGGCACTCTTGGACACCATACTGTTGTCGGTATATTGTGTAGGCATAAACGTATAGACAGAGAACATTAAAAGTCTAACATAAGGTAGTTGATTTTTGGGGGGTGGTGATGGAGGAGTATCTACATTTAATAGTGTGCCAAAAGAACTTTAACTTATTAAATAAAATACATTCTAAGTGAACCTAAAAATTATACATTATTATAAACATAAAAATACTTCTTTTTGGTGTAATACATCAAATCAATTACATCTGCAAATAGAAAACCAAAACTGTATGTAAAGTAGTATTTCTCACCCAGAAACAAGAATCACTTATGAAGTTATTTCTCAAAAGGGTCAAAAAACGATTTTAAACCTGCCAAAACCAACATATAATTTAGATATCCATACTTACGCTACTCAGTGATTCACTAATACTGCAAAACAAGCTTTCTTCTAGAAAAAGAGTGGTTTCTTCAAGTTAACTGGGTAATAACTGACATATTAAAAAAGAACAAGGACCAGCTGATGTCTCAGTATATACCCTAGGTGGGCAATTTGTTTGGGAACTTTTCATCAGAAGGAATCATCCTGAAGAGGAAGGTTTATATTTGAGTTAGATTTTTCCCTCTCTGAGGCATGTGTACCTTCATGGAGACCAAGGCAATGCCTCCGATCTCTCTTTATCACTGTTTGAGACAGGAAAAAGAAAGCTGGCTAACAACATTTAAAATTGTGTGTTCTAGAAGGAAAAAAATGACATTATTCTAGGCATTGCTGGCACCCAAAGACAGCAAAGCACAATTCGTTTCTTTTGTATACAGCGCTAGTCAAGAACAGAGACGAGCTTCGAAAGAGCAGTGTAGTGCTCGTCGTTACATTTCATACATGTGTGGACATTAAGTATAAAGTAATGACATTTGGACTAAGGAGCTTTGTAGTTATTTATTGTCAAGTCACAGTACTTAAAAACTCCTTGATAATAAATAGCTTGGAGGTTTCCAGTCCTGCTTCCAAGCATCAGGTACGGGTAAATTTATTTCAGGCTGTGAGGTGGAGAGTAGGGTGACGTGGGGCCATGATGTCCCCCACCAAGCAGCTCCAGTGTCCTTCAGTAGACGTGCTGACAATCAGAACTCATCAATTTTCCTCTGCAGATATTTCAACATGGAGTCCATGCCTTGGGCGGAACCCCAGATTTTCTTCAGTACTTCACACTCCCTCTCATTTGCCTGCTCCAGCTCCATCTTCATGTTGCAGCGCACAAGGGCTTTGCACTCCTCAAGCACCTGGGCCAAACAATAAGCAGTGAGTAAGGGGGGTGAGTATGTGCATACGTGTTGGTTCTGCCTCTCTCTTGATTACTGAGGCAATCTTCCACGCCGAGCAATTACCTGTTTCATAACGAGGCTGTCCCTTTCACAATACATGTTAGACTTAGTACCTGAATAAATCATATTTCAAATCAGTTACTGGATATACTCTCAGTTTCAAAATGGCTAGTTAGTTATTGAGAGTGGGACTTAAGTGCTGCCCTGGCCCTTACTCAGCAGTGAGCCAGCTCTCTGTCCCCTAGCAATTGTTGCTGGCCAATGAGGGTCCCTGGATATTGAATACTTTGATGCTCAATGAAAAGGGTTCAATGGCTGCTATTTAAATAGAATGGTTGTTCACAGATACATCTGGAAAAGGTTTGGTGGGAGTTGTGCTAGTTAATATTAAGCAACATTTCACCTTTTCATTTGCTAAATGAAATTTTTGTTGGGAGGGGATTAAATATTTCCAGTATACTTAGTCGGCTGGACTGCTGACCTTGTTTGTGGCCAGCTACCCAAAGCATAACTTCCTGTGCCACAAGAGCTCTTTGAGAACAGTAAAAACCCAAACCCCAATCCACTGTTCCCGAGTTGGCTCCACCTCAGAGTGACTCTGTCCTCACAGTGACTCTGTGAGACAGGGAAAACTGTTGCCCCTGCTGCATTTCTGAGACTAACTCTTCAGAGGAATAGAGAGCCTCATCTCTCTCCTGGGGGGCCGCTGGGATTTTAAACTGCCGGCCTTGCTTTAGCAGCCCAACGAGTAACCACGATGCCAACAGAGCGACCCTCCAAAGCAGGGGTCCTCAAACTTTTAAACAGGGGGCCAGTTCACTGTCCCTCAGACCCGTTGGAGGGCCGGACTATAGTTAAAAAAACCCAACTATGAACAAATTCCTATGCACACTGCACATATCTTATTTTGAAGTAAAAAAACAAACGGGGCAAAAACACCCAGTGGGCCGGGTAAATGTCCTCGGCGGGCCGCATGTGGCCCACGGGCCATAGTTTGAGGACCCCTGCTTTTAGAGTCTAAAGGCAGAGTAAGACCTCCTCGGTGGGTTCCTGAGACTAACTCTTTAGGGGAGTAGAAAGCCTCATCTTTCTCCTGCAGAGCTGCCAGTGGTTTTCAACTACTAACCTTGCAGTTAGCAGCCCAATCAATATGTATCCACTACACTACCAACAGTAAAGAACTAGGTAAGTGTTAGTTTCTGTAATGTCTATACACATATTTAAAAAACCAACCTAAAACAACCAAATCCATCAAGTTGATTCCAACTCATCGTGACCCTATACAGGACTTCTGGGTAACAGCTGGTGCACTTGAAGAGCATTTACCCCACCCAGCTCCTGCAGACATCGACAGGATATTTACATTACGAAAACTCAGATGACTTCTGATTAGTACCGTTCTTTAAATGCTTGCATATTTTCAAGCTGTTGTTATAGACATTGCTTTTATCAGGAATTCATACAAAGGTGGCTTTGTAGCAAGCAAAAGTGGTATTTAGGAGACCCTGTATTTGTGTGAATTCTTTGAAGGCAAAGGTATTTTAGAAGTACCATTCGGACATCCCTTCTCTATGCCCTGCCCGCCGGACACCCCCGAAGAGTCTCGGCGTGGCTCCGTTTCACTTTAAAAGTGAGAACATAGTCTTGGAGTGCCCAAGTGGGCTGGGTAAGCCAAGACCGGCTCCAAGACCCAGTTTTTCACCCCCAAGCCCAGCCAGGTGCAAGGAGCCTAGTGGCATAGAGGTAACGTGCTGGACTGCTGACCGCCAAGATCTGCAGTTGGAACCGACCAGAGGCTCCTCGGGAGGAAGATGAGGCTTTGTGCCCCTGTGAAGATTTACAGCCTTGGAAAGGCATGGATGGTGGTGGGACAGTTCTACTCGGGCTTATAGGGTTGCTATGAGTCAGAACCGACTTGATGGGCGAGAGTCCAGCTGCTGTGTGATTATATGATCACCAGACCAGGGCCTGACCCCTGCGGCCTGCCACGGGCAGGGCTCTGCGTGTGGATGTGCTTGTGCGTGTCTGCTGTGCACCATGGATGCCGGCACGTGGCTCCAGGGCGGCGGGCTCTGATGGGCCCCATCTGCCAACGACCAGGCCGAGCTGCAGAGTGTCTCTCGGGGGACTCCTTCCCGTGCTAGTCCTCCTGGCTTTTGGGGAAGCATCAGGTGGGCCCTGAACTGTTCAGTCTTCCTGTATTCCCTCTGATGCCCAAGAACATCTCCTGTCTCCTCCTCTGGCTGAAGACCACCCTCACAGGGTGAAAGATAGGGAGGAGAGTAGAGATCTAAACTTTGTCACCGCTTGGAACACAATGAGTAGGCTAACAGCAGCAGGAGGGATTGCAGTCAGATAAGAGGAAAGACTTACTGGGTGGAAGACGGTTCCTTTATGGTACAAAAATCCCTCAGCCTAGGTCAGATTCAGGAGCCTGAGAGACACAAGTGGTCTGTAGTCAGCTTTTCACCTAAAGGCCGACCCTGCCCGGAAGTTCCTCTGAATAAAGGCCAGGAAAACGGCCTGAGTAGATGAGAGTCAGACAACGATGGAGCAGTTCTCTCTTACACTTGGGGCCCACCTGAGCTCGAGGCCGACTTGTGGGCAGCTAACAACAACAGGAGGTCATGTTCAGTGACAGAAGGTTCTTAAGAGTCCTCGGATGACCGCCTCCTGAATGGCCTGTGGGCACCATCTGGACACAGCTGGCAATCAGAACATCCACTGCCCACAACAACCTGATGCAGTAGATGCTACCATTTCCTTGTCTGCTGGAGGAGGAGCCTGACGGGGACCCCCCCGCACCTTCATACCACAGCCCGCGCACACCCTCACTGCAGCCAACAGCCCGTGTCAGGAGGACAGTTGGGATTGTGGGGTCGGTGGGAGGTGGAATGGGCAGGGAGGGGGCAGGGCTTGAGGAGGGGCAGGCAGGGTTCCGATGCAGTACAGTCTGCCCTGCTCAGCAGAACACCCTGCGGGCATTGGCGCCTAGTGCCCAGACTGGTTGCAAGTGAGCATCCACGTGCAGTTCCCCTCCCATGCTCCAGATGGCGGGCAGGGGCCTGGACACTCGCCGCAACCTTTCCCCAGCCCACGTCAGGATCACATCCCTGCAGGTGCCTTGGATACTACCCAGGTGGAGGTCGTACGCCCTGCCTTGGAGCCGCCTTGCAGCCACCAGAGTGCTTGTGCCAGCCGCCCGGCCACTGCTGCGTGCCAACCCCAGGCGCTGGCTACGTTTTGGGGATTCCCTGGTCTGTCCACTGGGCTCCTGGCCCTGGAGCAGGCTGTATCAAACCCACCCAAGTGCGGGGAATGTCTACCAGCAGCTCAGCTTGCCCCTTGTGCCCCCTCACTCACAAGCAGGGTGCTTGTGGCGGGACCCCAGTTGTGGCAGCAACACAGGGAACTTGTGCTCGGTACACGAGCCCAGGAAGCCCTTGGCTGAGGGCCGGGAGCCAGGCAGTGTGACACAGGGTGTGGGATGACGAAGCCGTATGCAGATGGTGCCACTCGCAACTCCCTGTAGCTCAAGGGCAGCTTCACTCTTCCGGTCACCCGCTCGATGTGGGTTTCAGAGAAGCTCTCTGCTTCCCTGCTCTGTTGGGCCTCCTCCCCATAGGCCAGAGAACCTTCTGGAGCTCAGGCTTCTGCCACACCCAGCGGCTCCCCAGTCACCCAGCTTAGGGCCCTCGTGCCCCGCTTCCCCGTATCCGAAGGTGGGTGGAAAGCCCGTGCCTGCTCTGGGCATGAACAGGCCTTTGTGGTGGGCAGGGAGCAGCCATCAAAGCCAAGCGAGCTGGGGCAGGCCTGGGAGCTGTGGGGCCCCTTGCTTCCCACGGCTCCCACGCCTGGCCACCACTCTGCGCCGTGTGGCTCCCATGGTCACAGCCTCCCACCCCCTTCCTCCTCTCCTTTCCACCATTCTAGGGACCAATCGCTCAGTTAGCTAGGGAAGGAAGTGTGAGCTTCGGGCAGCAACAGAACAGGGCGACCCTTTGTCCCATAGATGCCGAGACAGGGCACAAGGGAAAAGTGCTCGGGTGCAAGGGAAATGGCAGGACACAAAAGGAAACGGATATTGGTCTCACTGTGTCAGTTTGTCTTACTGAGGTGTCTTGTGTCTTGCCGAAAACGATGTAACTGGCGCCTCAAATGCCAGCAGGGCCACCCAAAGGGAACAGACCAAGAACGGTTTAAGAACAGGGAATCCACTGCCCACTGCAGAGGAAGGAGCCACTAAGAAGCTTATGCTTAGAATGGAAACCCTGTCCGGTACTTGAAGGCCTAATGAATGGGAGCAGACCACTGTCAGGTGGCAGAGGAGGGGCCTCTGTGCTCAGAAGGCTCTCCAAATTGCACTCGGCTGAGCGGCCCCTTGTGATGTGAAGGGAACAACGCCTGGGGCAGTGGGGCCTTGGGTTTTCATTTCCTGATGGCACAAAACTCAAGAAGAAACAGCTGTAAAAATCTCCCAATAATTGAACATGGAATGTATAAAACATGAATCTAGGAAACGTGGAAGTCATCTACAATATAAGGCTGGTATCCTAGGCATTACTGAGTGAAAGAGACTGGTACTGGCATTTTGAATTAGAAGATCATGTGGCTTACTATGTGCGGAATGACCCAGTCAAGAGGAATGGCATTACGTGGTTTGTCAGAAAGGACACGTCAGTATCTTTTCCGAAGTACAATGCTGTTTGTGATAGGATTAGAGCTGTCCACCTTCAAGGAAATCCAATCAATACAACCATTATTCAAACTGACGCACCAACCACCAAAGCTAGTGATGAGGAAATTGAAGAAGTCAACCAATGTCTTCAGTCTAAAATTGATCAAATATGCAATCTTGATGCACTGACAATTATTGGCTATTAGAATGCAAATGTTGGAAACAAAGAGGAAGGGACAGTAGTTGGAAAATATGGTCTTGGTGATAGAAATGAAGCTGGAGATCGCATGATAGAATTTTGCAAGACCAATGACTTGTTCATAGAAAATATCCTTTTTCAATAACACGAACAGCAGCCCTACACATGGGCTTCACCAAATGGAATCCACAGAAATCAAATGGATACATTTGTGGGAAGAGATGCTGGGGAAGCTCAGTACCAGCAATTACCACCAGGCCAGAGGCTGACGGTGGAACCGATCATCAATTACTCATATATAAGTTCTGGTTGAAGCCGAAGAAAATTAAAATAAGTCCATGAGAGCCAAATGTGTGTGTGTGGGGGGGGTGGGGGGGGGAGCACCATTCAAGGATGCTTTCACAAACTTGTGGAAGCCCCCTCAAATGTTGAGAAAAAATTAGACTTACAATTGGATTACATGAGGCAAGTTCCTTAATTCGAACCATCACTTCCTGTGTGAATGTCCCTGGCCAAAACACCTGGGAGACCAGTCCTTTGCCACATGCTTCCTGTGCAGTCAGCTTCCGTCCACTGAGCAACATTTCATTTGCCTGAAAGAGAAAATTCATGTTGATGTAAAATGTAATAGATATGCACAACTTGGTCAACGCTTCATGATGACACTAAGAAATACATATGAGTAAAGGATGTCATTTGTAAATGCTATGGCACACACAATCTTGCAACACTAATAGTAACAAACCTAAAAGAACTCCTGTGTGTAGTTACACAGGTAGATATGCACATAGGAAAGCACATGTGTATGTACTTTTGTAAACATGCATATATGTTTGTATGTGCAATAACATTTGAGGATAAGTCCAAAGGTATTGCTACTCAGGTTCCAGTTCATATACACAACGGTTTAATCGGAACAAAACATGTACCTGCAACCACACAGAGAGGTCCTGGGGCCAGCCCCAATCCCAACTACATGGACACCCCTTCAAAGGACAGCACTAAAGCAACAGCTCAGGGAGATGGGTACATCTGACCAGAGCACGCAGGCGCAAACAAAGAAGGAAGGAGAGAGCGGAACCCATCCTGGCTCACCAAGCCCTGAGGATGATATTCCTGCTCAGAGCCGCCAATGCACAGAGAGGACCATAGGGCTGGCCCCACTATGAGACACAATGTCCCTCATGAACCCACCGTGCTACAAGGGACAACACTGGAGGCACAGTGCAGGAATTGAGCTCAATCCCCCCTCCCAAGGGGATGGACAACTGGGGGTGGGGTGGGGGAATGCTAAGGGCGTGCAAGGAGCAGCAAGGGGAGCAAAGCAATGAAGTCTCCAGGGAATACCAAAAACAGACCTTGGGGCCAGGGAGTGACATCCCATTCAGACTCAACAGGAAAATACTCCTAAAGGACAACAAACAGACCTAGAACTATTTTTAGGCATTCCTTTTTTTTTTTGTCGTTTGGTTTTTTGTTTCCTTCTGCTCTGCCTTGTTTTTGTGCTTATTATTGTCTCTATATGTCTATTTAGATGATATAGATTGGTTAAACAATCTAGAGGAGAAAATAATGGGACCGATGGTTCTGGGAGGACATGGGAGAGGGGGGTGGGGTGGGGAGAAAGGAAGTGGCTGTTAACCAACCCAGGGACAAGGAAACAAAAAATTATCTAAAATCGATGGTGAGGAGGGCACAGGATGGCTGGTAGGGCTTGATCAAAAGCAATGCAACTGAAAGGAATCAAGGAAGCCTGAGTGAAGGGAGAACATGACAGTGGGACAAGAGGAAAGTAAAAGGAAATAGAGGAAAGAATTAGGAGGCAAAGGGCATTTATAGAGGTCTAAATACAGGCATGTACATA